AGGAGAATTGCCTGAACCCAGGAGGCGGAGGTTGCGGTGAGCCGCCTCCTGGGTTCAGGCAATTCTCCTGCCTCAGCCTCCTGAGTATCTGGGATTACAGGCACGCGCCACTATGCCCAGCTGATTTTTTGTATTTTTAGTAGAGACGGGTTTTCACTATGTTGACCAGGATGGTTTCGATCTCTTGACCTCGTGATCCACCCGCCTCGGCCTCCCAAAGTGCTGGGATTACAGGCGTGAGCCACCGCGCCCGGCCGCTCCTTACGCTCTTCTGTATGCAGATCAGTTAGCTTCTCTTTGCTTTTTCTAGTCTCTTCTGCAGACTTTGTTTCAGTAAGAACAACAAAAGCAGGGCCAGGAATCAGCTGGACCAGACTAGAGAAGATTCCTTCCTCATTTGAAGGAGGAGGTTGCAGAGACATCATTTAAAAAATATAAAATTATATTTATGTACGCATGTTTTTTAATCCCAGTCACACAGGAAAAATATAAACTTCGCCTTCTCTCTTTGTTTAGGCCTGAAATGTTCTTGCAGAGAAACCCTCAGTCTCAGAAAGAACTTTGGGTTTCCCAAACCGGAAACATATAAACCTCTTTATTTTTATTTACTTATTTTATTTTAGACAATGTTTTGGTCTGTCGCCCAGGCTGGAGTGCAGTGGCATGATCACGGCTCACAGGAACCTCAACCTCCCAGGCTCAAGCAATCCTCCCACTCCAGCCTCCCAAGTAGCCGTGACTCTAGGCATGCACCACCACGTGCAACTAATTTTTTTTTTTTTTGTCGAGACAGGGTCTTTTTTTTTTTTTTTTTTTTTTTGACAGAGTTTCGCTCTCGTTACCCAGGCTGGAGTGCAATGGCGCGATCTCGGCTCACCGCAACCTCCGCCTCCTGGGTTCAGGCAATTCTCCTGCCTCAGCCTCCTGAGTAGCTGGGATTACAGGCACGTGCCACCATGCCCAGCTAATTTTTTTTGTATTTTTAGTAGAGACGGGGTTTCACCATGTTGACCAGGATGGTCTCGATCTCTTGACCTCGTGATCCACCCGCCTCGGCCTCCCAAAGTGCTGGGATTACAGGCTTGAGCCACCGCGCCCGGCGAGACAGGGTCTTGATGTGTTGTGCAGGCTGGTCTCGAACTCAAGGGATTCTCTTGCTTTAGTCTCCCGAAAGTGCTAGAATTACCGGCGTGAGCAACTCCACCAGGCCATAAACCTCTTTAAATGGCTACCAAACGTAACTGCCGTCTTCTCTCAATGCCACTGTTCCCTTTAACACATTTTCCTTTTTTGATTTAACATGTCATGTGTGTTTCCTTTAGAAAAAATGCACAGAAGAAGCTAAAAGAAAATAAAAGAAAATTGATTCCATTACTCAGAGATCATCACTGCCAACATCTTGGTATATATCCTTTTAGATTTTGTTTTATTAAAATATACACATGAATATATATTTACCTGCCTATCTAAGAATATGTATGTATAAAAGTGGAATTACGTGCATACTACTTACATATTTACAAAAATGGAATTAAATACATACTCCTTCATAAGCCCTGCCATCTTTTCACATCGACACATTTATTAGAGCATCATTTTCAGTGGCTGCCCAAGTCATGGTGGAGGATCAGAGGCAAATCCTTTTCTTGAGGAGGACGAGGAGTGAGGGGTGAGGATAAGGGAAGGAATTAGAATCCGTGGCATCAAGCCTGGATGCACAGGTGCTTATGAAATAATTGTTGATGGGTTGAACAAAACATTAAAGGAAGATTTCTCAAAGGTGACAGCTAATTTATTAGGGATGAATTATAACTTTTTTTTGAGACAGAGTCTTACTCTGTCTCCCGGACTGGAGTGCAGTGGCAAAATCTCAGCTCACTGCAACCTCCGCCTCCTGGGTTCAAGCGATTTTCCTGCCTCAGCCTCCTGTGTAGCTCAGATTAACGCCCACCACAATGCCCAGCTAATTTTTTGTATTTTTTCAGTAGAGACAGGGTTTCACCATGTTGACCAGGCTGGTCTCGAACTCCTAATCTCAGGTGATCCGCCTGCCTCGGCCTCCCAAAGTGCTGGGATTACAGGCATGAGCCACCACGCCAGGCCCGAATTATAACATTTTTATAGAGAGATTTTAAATCACAGGAGAGTTGGCCTGAACTGCCCTTGAAGCATAATATTCCTGAGCAACTCTGCTCACTCAGGCTTCTAGACTCATTTTAAATTTGAGTTTAAAAGTCCTACATCTAACGGGCAGCTGCCAGAACTCACTGATGAGGGTGTCCGTGAATCTGGAAAACCTCTTCACGGAGATGGCATTTGGGTGAAACTCTCAGGCCTGTTTTACGGATGCAGGATATTCACTAAATCTGGACATACTCGAGGAGTCACCCACACTTTAGGGAACTTTTTAAACCAAACTTTCTGGGATTTATGCATCACCACACAAAAATTTCCCATGACTTACATGACCAAGAGAGAAAACAATGCTGGTTTTCAGAAACACTCAAATATCTTGGCTCAGGACACAGTGGCTGAGACACCATGCAGTGAGCAGAATCATATGGGCATCCACACGTTCTCAGCTGTGGTCGGGTGCAGAGCCTCGGCGCTCCCTCCTGGCTCGTGTCTGTGGGATGGCCGTGGCGTTGCTTCAGAGCAGCGTACAGGTAGAGGTACTGAGTGTCTTAGTAAATGCCCTGGGGCTGGAAATTATTGCTGAGATATCTGGCATTTTTAATACACATTCCAGGCAGTCTGGGGGCTTCTGGCCAACCTATGTGAACTTAAAAGAAACGAAATCATTCTCTTTTAAATGCCCACACGACCAAAAATGGACTCTTGTTATCTTGTACTCAGTCAGGATTGGATGAGGGAAAAGTCCTAGCCTGGCAGCTCCCTCCCCCAATTACTGTCTCAGAGACTCTCAGTGGAAGCATAATGAAGTATTCTCCTTTGGGTGGCCAACTGCTTGGAGTGCAGATACGTTTCCTGCCCTGCCCTGCTCAGGGAGTTCTTTCATGCCCTTCCCATGAATTAGGAAGACTGAGGGTGTTTCAATGGTACAACTGGAGTGGTCTATAAAGTCAACCCCTTTAGGTTGAAAAACAAACAAAAACCCTTTGTAGTTCTGGTGATATGGCATAGAAGAATATGTCCCCAAATGCCCACCCTAAGTAGATTCCCATTTGCTGACACTGGGATCTGCCCTTGCCTTCTCCATCCCCTTTCAGTCCTGGACATCCATGCCTCCTTCTAGCGCCTTCACCTCCCTTTACCACATTTACCAACAATTTTGATCAAGGCTAACTTTGTAATCACAGGTTTAGTTTCACCTTTGGGTGGCATAAGAGCTCCATCTGGGTATTCGATGTGTTGGGGTGACTAGGGCACCGGTGCACCAATCTGCCCCCTATCTTCCCCGGCACCTAGCTCCTTACCAAGGACCACTCTCTGCCCTTGCTTTCCTTATGGGTTATTAACGCAGGTGCTGGAAGTCGGGTTCCTTCTAATGGGCCCATAGCTTTCTGGTTCACTTCCTTGAACAGGGTGAACTGTAAAGGAGAGTCACTGATCTTTAGGTCAAAAGGCTCTGACTTTTTTTAATTTTTAAATTTAAAAAATTATGGTAAAATACACATGACAGAAAATTTGTCATTTTAATCATTTTTTTTTTTTTTTTTTTTTTTTTTTTTTTTTTTTTTTGAGACGGAGTTTCGCTCTTGTTGCCCAGGCTGGAGTGCAATGGCGCGATCTCGGCTCACGGCAACCTCCGCCTCCTGGGTTCAGGCAATTCTCCTGCCTCAGCCTCCCGAGTAGCTGGGATTACAGGCGCGCGCCACCACGCCCAGCTAATTTTTTGTATTTTTAGTAGAGACGGGGTTTCACCATGTTGACCGGGATGGTCTCGATCTCTTGACCTTGTGATCCACCCGCCTCAGCCTCCCAAAGTGCTGGGATTACAGGCGTGAGCCACCGCGCCCGGCATTTTAATCATTTTTTAAATTTTATTTTTATTTTTTTTTAGAGATGAAGTCTCTCTATGTTGCCCTGGGTGGATGCAGTGGTATTCACAGGCACGCCCCCATTACTGATTAGCGTGGGAGTTTGGACCAGCTCTGTTTCTGACCTGGGCCAGTTCACCCCTCCTTAGGCAACCTGGTAGTTCCCTGCTCCCGAGAGCTCACCATATTGACGTGGAATTTGGTGCGGCCGCCCGATTGGCCTAGCCCAGAACTACAGCCTAGAAATCCTGGGCTCAAGCGATCCTCCCACCTCAGCCTCCTGAAGAGCTGGGCCATCTTAATTAAGTACATTCATATTGTTGTGCAGCCATCACCACCATCCAGCCACAAACCTCTTTTTATCCTTCCAAACGGAAACACCACAGCTCCTAAACAATCTCCATTCCCCTCTCCCCCAGGCCCTGGCAACCACCATCCCATTTCTGTCTCTATGAATTTGACTACTTGTTATATATCACGAGTGAAATCATACATTTGTCCTTTTGCATCTGCCTTATTTTACTTAACATAATGTCCTCAAGGTTCATCCATGTTGTAGCATGTGCATGTATCAGAATTTCCTTCCTATTTTTTTTTGAGATGGAGTCTCACTCTGTCTCCTAGTTCCCAGGCTGGAGTGCAATGACACAATCTCGGCTCACCACAACCTCCACCTCCTGGGTTCAAGTGATTCTCCTGCCTCAGCCTCCCAAGTAGCTTGGATTACAGGCTTGCACCATCATGCCCGGCTAATTTTTGTATTTTTAGTAGAGACGGGGTTTCACCATGTGGGCCAGGCTGGTCTCGAACTCCTGATCTCAGGTGATCCGCCTGCCTCAGCCTCCCAAAGTGCTGGGATTACAGGCGTGAGCTGCCGCACTTGGCAGAATTTCCTTCCTTTTTACGGCTGAATAAGATACCATCATATGGATAAACCACATTTTGTTTATCCACTCATTGCTAAGTTTATTCCACCTTTTGACCCTCCTGAATAATGGTGCTATGAACATGGGTGTACAAATATGGACCTGAATTATGAGATCATTGTAGATTCACATGCAGTTATAGGAAATAATATAGGTGTGTGTGCGTGTGTGTCTGTGTACATGTATTTAGTTCGATGCAATTTTATACTTGTGTAGGGTCATATGCCTGCCACCAAAATTAAGCTACAGAGCAAGGATCCTTTGTGTTGACAAGGCCCCCAAGTTCAGCCCTAAATTTTAGGTTCCATTTCTAAAGGATAAAAGCAATAAATAGCTCAGCACTCCTTTGGCAATGTCCTGTTCTGGGTTTTCTGGGGGATGCCACAGTGGTAGCAGTGGGGAGATCCAGGTCTAGGCTGACGGCTCCTCAGCCCATGGTTTAAGCTGGGGCAGTGAATTCAGCGGCACATTCAGGGCAGTGAGTGGAGCAGGGGATGGGGGTGTGGCCTCTTGTGTCCAACAGCACCCTCAGCCAGTGATACCACTTCACATCCCATGTTCTGGATAGTGACCGCCAGGCTCATGCCATCTGTCCCCACACTGCTAGTCAAATCTCAGCCAACGCCCTTAGAATTGCATCCCAAGTGGTGGCCTCTCAAATGAAATGCTTCCACTAGAACAGTGCTGTCTGATGAGAATAAAACATGATCCACATAGGTAATTTTAAAATAGTTTCCTTAAAATTAAAAATAGGTAAAATTATTTTTAATAATACGTTGTATTTAATCCAATACATGAAGAATATCATTTGAACATATAAACAACAGAAATATTTTCAGTGAGGTATTTTATATTTTTATGAACATTTTCCCCCTCCATACTGTGTCTGATATCTGGTGCATATTTTGCATTTATACCAACCACGTCTCCATTTGGTCGAGCCACACTTCAGGTCTCAGTAGCTCACATGGATTGGTCAGCATTGTTCCAGAATCAAGCTCTGCATAATCAAACCAGGACCGCCTGTTGTCCCAGGAGCTTCCTAACTCCTCTGATTGGCGCATCTACCTTGATCGGCACTCAGATAAGCCACACCATGGACCAGCTGGTGATGGGGAAAATGTCAGCTTTGCTTTTAGGGATTTGTTATTGTGGGAACCCACTGTTTATCAGCAGCTCTAGTTGATCCACCTGCTTTGTGGTGCCAACATAGGAACTTGTCTGGAGGGTCAGAGAAGAAGCAATTGGCCCTCAAAGCACATTGACACCTTTGAGGAAGGCGGAGGCCAAGTCAGCAGGCAGCAGCTTGCAGGGAAATTAAGCAGAATTCTGAACTTTTGGAAAGAAGTAAATTTCTGGCACTTGGCATGGTTTCAGAATGAATTCTGGAGGTTGGTGTAGTTCCCTGGATCCAGGGGGCTTGGGGAATTCCATATGAGTCATTTGGGCTGACCTCATAAGTGCCCCAGGGTAAGGGGCAATCCTCTGTCTCCCCAGGCACTTCTGTTCAAGCATTCTGCCCAGGAGTTGGCACAGCCACCCACGCCCGGCCACCTCAAGAGATAGATGGAATACCAGCAGCCCACGGATGTCCCTTGTCAGCAAAAAGCACCCTGGAAATGGGTGGCTGGATAAAAGGTCCTCTGTCTGTTGTTGGCTGGGACAGCGTCTACCACAGCCTACACTTGTATTATGGGAATATTTCTCTATAGCTTAATGCTCCAGAGAGAAGTGCACATTTTCTGCTAAATGTGTGGCTTCATGGGCTTGTCGTTGATGGCTTTCCTAGGAGAGGCCTTCATGCTTCTACTTGGAGTCTGACCCCTACCCTTCCACCCTCAGCCTAGCTAGGCCTGAGCAGGTGCATAAAGTGATCTGACCTAGTGAATGGGAAGGTGTACACCGATAGAATCTGTACATTTTGCCTATACCGCATTCAAGAGAATACAGTCGTGCATCATGACATTTCATCAATGACGGACCACTGACTCATTACCAGTGATCCGGTAAGACGGTAACAGATCTATACAGTGGCATGCGCTGTACCATCTAAGTTTGTGTAAGTACACTCTATGATGTTTGCACAACAATGAAACCAGCTAATGACATATTTTTCAGAGCGCATCCCTGGTGTGAGTGTATATTAAGGCCAATTTCATCTGTTTCTTCTTATCTTTTAATGTGGCCACTTAAAGGTTTAAAACTACACGCGTAGCTTGTGTTGTCTTTGTATTGGGCAACGCTTTTTCAGTGGACGCCGAGTGTTATGAAACCCTGAGCTGGGAGTCCCTGCATCCGAGTTCCAGCATCATCTGTGGCACTAACAAACCTGGAAGGCTTTGAGTAAATCTCTTCCCTGGGCCTCAGTTTCCTCATCTGTAGAACAGGAGAGTTGAACTACATAATATCCAACCTACCAGCAACTTTCAACTTTTCTGCTACCCAGGTAATGGGTAAGTTAGAAAGAAATGACAGTTTGCACAGCCAGTCTGTATTCCTGCGGAAAGACGGGGAGCGTACTCACACTGTCTGATAAAAGGTTAAACAGCATGGCACTGGTAAATGCAGGAGCACGGAGGGCACTCTCTTATTTATTCATTAGCCACCGCCCACTGAATTCCCTAAAGACTACTCTATCTTTGGAAACTGAGCTCCTGAGTCTCCTTACATACCCATACCCAGGAGGTGCCATGGGCCGAGAGGCTGGGCCTGAGAGAGCCAGCTCACAAATGCAGGGCCCTGGGTCTCAGAAATCACTTTCGGGGCAAGGGAGGCAAGGCATTAACTGTCTCTTCCAGGAACACTTTCACAGAAAGCCTTTTAAGAGCTGGAGAGGAGCGACGGCATCTGGGCTCTCGAATTGTTTATGCATGCAAACGCCGAAATTAATATTTCAGATGAGCAAATAGAAGAACCCAAGTCACTCACTGGCCTCTCGTTTGCATCACAGAAGCCCCGAACTCTGTTTCTCCTTCCTCAATCTCAATCTTGTTTCTGGAGGCTTTGTCGGGATTCCCTTCCCATCTTGCCACTTCCTTGCTTTACAAACCTCAGATGGTTCCTCTTACCCTGGGAACAGAATCTAGTCTGGTGTTCCAGTTTCCCCACCTGCCATCTCGCCCCGATTTTCCTGCCCAGCCCTCCCTCCCCCTGCCCCACCTCCCCCAGGTGACTTGCCTTTCCTGGACCTTGCCCAGCCCAACCACAAGCCCTGGCTCATGGAGTCCCCTCTGCTGGACAGGACCTTTCCTCCACCAGCAGCCCTGCAGCGTCCTCTGCCTTTGGGTCCCCAGTTTAGGTGACACAGGTTTCCTCCACAAATAGCTGCCCTTACGGTGCCTCACTCTCTGATCCTGGCCATCCCTGCTTTATTTTATTAATCCTTCCAACCAGCATGCCAGGTGGGGACTCTCACAAGGAACGTGGCAGATCAGGGAGGTTGGAACCCAGCCAGGCCACTCTGGAGCCCACACAAGTAACCCCTGTGCTGACTTGCTTCTCCTGGGGATTTCTCTGTTTCCTTGGCGTTCCTGCAGCACATTTTCTGTCTCTTATCACGCTTGTGTTAGTTTGCCAGAGCGGCCATCCAAAATATTGTAGACGGGGTGGCTTAAACAATAGGAATTTATTTTCTCACAGTGCTGAATGCTAGAAGTCCAAGAGTGAGGTGTCGGCAGGTTTTGAACCATTTTCTGGAAACCTCTCTCCTTGGCTTGCAGACGGCATCTTCTCCCCATGTCCCCACATGCTGTGCCCTCTGTGTGTGCCTGTGTCCTAATCGCCTCTTCCTACAGGGACACCTGTCAGATTGGATCAGGGCCGATCCACAAGACCTCATTTTAATCTAATTGCCGTTTAAGGACCCTATCTTCAAATACAGTCCCATTCTGAGGTATGGGCAGTTAGGGCTTTGACATGAGAATTTGGAGTAGGTGACACAATTCAGCCCATAACAGTACCAATCACAGTCAGCTTTAAACTGCAGTGAGTCAGGGGAGTGCCTGTTCCCCATCTGGTTGATAGAGACTGCATCTGAGTCAGCCCCATGCTCTTCTCTGGGTTTAAGTTCAGCTCAGCACTGTGAAGGGAACACTCCAGTTTCTGAGAGACTGGACCTTATAGGCCAAGATAACCAGGTGGTTATCTTGGTATGGTGGGAGGATGCGTCATGTCTTTTTGCTTGCTCGTCTCTGTGTGATTGAACAGAGAAACGCAGGAGAGGAGGTTCAGGCTGACACAGCATTTGCTGCTTGGCTTTCAGCTAGAAGAGATATCTCAGGAAGCCTGGGGATCCGGGAGGCTTTGAGCATAGATGGGCCTGAGAAGAGGGTGGCTGGGGGCTGAGCTCCAGGCGGAGGTGTGCATCCATGACTCAGGATTGAAGAGGTCGTGGGGGGTTTGCAGGCTGCTACGGTGCCTGACATATGTGTGTGTGTTGGTACAGGACAGTGAGTGGGCCAGAGAGTAACACCTGAAGTCATCAAGTGTAGCCGGGGCTGGGTTTGGTATGCTGTGGGAGTCAGCCGGAGGAGCTGGGTTTTCTTGGCTGCTCATTGTACACAAAGTCCAATTACAGAGACAATTTGAGGAGCAGGGCAGTGCACTGGCAGTGAGCAGTGCTGGGAAAGGGCTGGTGAGTTCAGGGTGTCGCTGGCCCCTTCCTCAAGTTGGTGGAGTGCAGTTTCCTGGAATAGGCATCTTCAGTTCTCACTGTTGCCTTTTTCTAAGTAAAGAAGATAGATCAAATCCTGCAGAACTGCTCCTGGGGTTCCCTGTCTTGGTAAATGTCACCACACACAGATTCCCAAACCAGAAACATGACCACCATCCAGCCTCCTCCCTAAAGTTTATCCCCTTAGTGAATCCATCACCAAATCCCATCACCAAATTCTACCCCCGAAGATGTCAGAGTCCAGCTCCATTGTACTCCCATGTGCAAGCCACTGTCCTCTTACCCTGGGACCACTGCTGGGCTCTCGTCTTCCTGCCACAACCCAGACCCCTCTTCCTGTAATTCATTTTGCACTCAGCTATCAGAGACATTTCCAAAGTTTAAATTGTGTCCTCTTATAGGACTGTCCGGTGGCTCTCTAGTGTTCTCTGGGCTAGCTCCAAACTCTTTGTTGACTTCTAAGCCTCTGCAGACCCCAGCCCCTCATCTCCCATCATTCCACCACAGCCCTTCAGTGGGTCACACGGAACAATGCTGGGGTTCTAGGTTCAGCTCTGGGCTCTTCCTGCCTCCTCTGCTTGGCTAAGTCTCACTCATTATTCGCATCAGATACCACCTTTCATAGGAGTCAGCCTTGATTCCTAGACTGGGATCACATGCGAGGGGCCTTCAAAAAGTTTATGGAAGTGGGTATGATGTAAATGCTATGTATGGATTCAGAATTTGTTTGGCACCAAAAGAAACTTGTGCTAACTTGTTATGATGTGCATGAACAGGATCCAGTTTGGGGCACTAAGAAGAATAAGGCATCGGTTTGAAAGGAGCCTCCACCAGGGCAAGGTGAATTCTATTAAAATTGAAGCAATAACAAAAAAACAAAAAACCCATCAATGTGTGGCAACGTTTGGGTGGAAGAATGATTAAATCATTGATTTTTTAATGAAAAGTTTATGGGAACAATACCCCCAAAGCAATCAGCAGTTTGCAAATGGATAAATTGTTTGAAGAAGGGATGAGATGATATTGAAGACGAAGCCCACAGTGGCAGACAATCCATATCAGTTTTCAAAGAAAAAACTAATATTTTTTGTGTCCTAATTGAAGACGGCTGATGATTAGCAGCAGAAACAATAGCCGACACCATAGATATTGCAAAGGTTCAGCTTATACAATTATGACTCAAAAATTTGAGTGGAGCAAATTTCCATTTGATGGGTGTCAAAATTGTTGTGCCCAGATCAGCTGAAAACCTTAAGGGGAGAGCTTTCAATGGAAATCTTAAACAAGCGGAATCAAGATCCTGAAGCATTTCTTCAAATAATTATAACGGCAGACGAAACATAGCTTTACTACCATGATGCTGAAGACAAACTACAATCGAAGCAGGGCTACCAAGAGGTGGAGGGGGGCCAGTCAAAGCAAAAGTGGACCGGTCAAGGGCAAAGGTCACGGCAACAATATTTTTTGGATGCTGAAGGCATTCTGCTTGTTGACTTTCTGGAGGGCTGAAGAACAATAACATCTGCTTACTCTGGGAGTGTTTTGAGAAAGCCAAAGCTTAGCAGGAAATATGCCTGGGAAAGCTTCACCGGAGGGTCCTTTCCACCGTGACAATGCTCCTGCTCATTCCTCTCACCAAACAGGAAAATTGTGTGAGGGTTTCGATGGGAAATCATTAGGCATCTACCTTACAGTCCGAATTTGGCTCCTTCTGTCCTTTTTTAAATTTTTTTTGTTTCACAATTTAAAAAAATTTGTAAAAGGCACTCATTTTTCTTCAGTTAATAATGTAAAAAGACTGCATTGACATGATTAAATTCCCAAGACCCTCATTTCTTTAAGGATGGACTGAATGGCTGGTATCACTGCTTGCAAAAGTGTGTTGAGCTTGATGGAGGTTATGTTGAAAAATAAAGGCTACGTTTTTAATGACTCTCTTTTTGCTCCATTTTTTCCACGGAGTATTTGAAGTCTCCCTATACATCTCTTTAGCTCGCTGGCGTGACACTTGCCACACAGAGGATACCTATTTACCTGATAGCCTCTTCTATAGATTTTTTTTTTTTTGAGACGGAGTTTCGCTCTTGTTACCCAGGCTGGAGTGCAATGGCGCGATCTGGGCTCACCACAACCTCCGCCTCCTGGGTTCAGGCAATTCTCCTGCCTCAGCCTCCTGAGTAGCTGGGATTACAGGCACACGCCACCATGCCCAGCTGATTTTTAGTATTTTTAGTAGAGACGGGGTTTCACCATGTTGACCAGGATGGTCTCGATCTCTTGACCTCGTGATCCACCCGCCTCGGCCTCCCAAAGTGCTGGGATTACAGGCGTGAGCCACTGCGCCCGGCTCTTCTATAGGTTCTAATCTCCTATAGTACAGGGCCAAGTCTACTTGCTTTTCTTGAGCCCCTAGCATCTAACCACAGGGTTTGCATAGAGAAGGAACTCAATGCATACTTAAGAAATGAGCAAATTGGTCATCCACTCCTGTGTGAGACCACAGTCACACTGTTTCTGCTTTCTTAGGTCCGACCTT